GGAAATATGTTCTTTAGATTATTAAAATGTGACCCTGGAGCACAAAAGCAGTGTTAAGTCGCTGGGGTATATTTGTAGCAATAGCCAACAATACATTGTATGGGTCAAAATTATTGTTTTTTTCTTTTATACCAAAAATCATTAGGATATTAAGTAAAGATCATGTTCCATGAAGATATTTAGTAAATTTCCTACCGTAAATATATCAAAACTTAATTTTTGATTAGTAATATGCATTGCTAAGAGCTTCATTTGGACAACTTTAAAGGCGATTTTCTCAATATTTAGATTTTTTTGCACCCTCAGATTTCAGATTTTCAAATAGTTGTATCTCAGCCAAATATTGTCCTATCCTAACAAACCACACATCAATGGAAAGCTTATTTATTCAGCTTTCAGATTATGTATAAATCTCAATTTAGAAAAATTGACACTTATGACTTGGTTTTGTGGTCCAGGGTCACAAATGTTCTTCACACTAAAATAAGTTCTTTTAAGAACTGTTCACTGAAAGGTTTTTTGGGGAACCCAAAATGGTTCTTTTTATGGTATTGATGTGAACCCCCCTTCTGGGACCTTTATCTTTAAGAGTGTACCATTTGGAAATGTTTTTTTTTAAGTATGTTTAAAAATATACTTATATAATAAAATATATCTGAAAAAAATGTCACATGGGTGTGTCTTTTTTGCAAAAATTAAGCACTGAGACATTTTTCTTTTATGTTCCCCTGAAGAAAGAAAAGTCATAGAGGTTTGGAGTAGGGCTGCACGATTCTTGCTAAAATGTGAATCACGATTTTTCTCCATGGGAATTGAGATCACAATTCTCTTACACGATTCTCATTTTTTCAACCAAAATTTATTGCACTCAAGTACAAAAAAAAACAAAAAAACAGGACTAGAGCTGCACGATTCTGGATAAATTGAGAGAGATCGTGATCTTTTAACGATTAATCGTGCAGCTCTAGTTTGGAGGCTGAGTAAATAAAATTGTAATTTCTCGAACTGTCCCTGTCTAGTTCAAAGAACTATCTGCTATTGTATTTGAACAATGTTATAAAGAACACCAGAAAGTGGTTGAAGACTTGCAGCTAGATTACTGCATGTCATCATATCCCACTCTGACCCAAAAACGCTCCATGTGAACCCTAAAGATAAAGAGTGAGAGCAGAGACAGATCAGCAGGCCCCAGAAATGACCTCAGTCTTACCGAGAATTAGGACTAAAAGAGAGAGAGTGTGTGTGTGAGGGCTTGAAGTACAGTTTGTAATGGACTTTCTCTGCCTGCAAACATGTCTGTTCTTTAGATACAAAAGATACACTGTATGTTATGTGATATTACAGTGGAGACAGCCAGTTGAGATTAACAGCATTGATTAACAAAGACATTACATATTAGCTCTGATCCAAAACGTGACTGCCGATCCTAACAGCAGATAGGAAAATTATGCTGCTGTCTAAAATGCTAGATTCACAAATGCATTGCACTGGGCTCAGTTCAAAACCATGCATTAGAAAACAGAAAAGTGTCTCAAGGGGCTGTTTTAAAATGCCTTGAAAGGAATCATTAACCATAAAAGGTAAGTTATAAAAAGCATTTAGTGTACCAACATGTTTGTGCAAATTACAAGATATATAGTCATTGTCTGGATTCCTGACAGAGTTGAATAAGGAAGATCCTCTAAGTGTGACTGAACAGAATGAGATAGGATCACAAAAGCTCACTGGCATTGGTTTTCATGTGTTTCTATAGAGTCTGTCCTATTTGAGCGTTTGTAATGAAGCTTTCATCTGGCTCCTCCTCCAGCTCATCCTAACATCCAAGATAGAAAGCACTTCAGACGGTTCACTGTGGCCACTGCTACCATGTCTGTTTTTAGTGAGGACGCTGGAAAGGTTAAGAGGGCCATGAAGATAACTTCAAAACATGACAGTGTCAAGGGTAGAGAGCTACTGTAAAGTCAGCTGTTGTGGTGTTTGTTCTCAAAACAGCCGTCTGTCCCTCTGTTATTATCTGCCATCTTGCACACACACACACACACACACTCCAGCTCATCCTAACATCCAAGATAGAAAGCACTTCAGACGGTTCACTGTGGCCACTGCTACCATGTCTGTTTTTAGTGAGGACGCTGGAAAGGTTAAGAGGGCCATGAAGATAACTTCAAAACATGACAGTGTCAAGGGTAGAGAGCTACTGTAAAGTCAGCTGTTGTGGTGTTTGTTCTCAAAACAGCCGTCTGTCTCTCTCTGTTATTATCTGCCATCTTGCACACACACACACACACACACTTCCAGCAGGAAAAGTCTTTCACAGCCACTTAGGAACCTAGTTGCAAATCCTCATACTCTCTTTAAGCTAGTTACTAAACAGACTTAAACTAAACGTGCTCCAACTACAGATTCCAGCATTTTAGGAGGCTGTGATGCTCAGAAATAGTGAGGAGTGTCACTCCAGTCAAGTGTTATATACAGCTTGCTAAAGTTAACAATATAACACCGCCGCACAGTGAACTTTCACCCACTTTTCCACCCTTAAGCTAAGGCGAAGACACCTGCCAAACAAGCCTATGCCGCTCGAGCTTTACGAGAGGAAATAGCTGGGAAACAATGACGTATGCAGCGGTGGAAGCACAGACAGAGAGCTTTCAAGAAACTGATGTTTGATGCGTTGTGTATTTTTTGCAGCAATAGTGGTTTCCAAACAGGTTTTCCACCCCACCACAAAGTCACGCTATTGGTTGAGTCACAAGTTGACATTGCTTAAAGAAACAGATCAATGTTGTGAAAGAAACAAGGAACCACTGTCTTTTGACAAGGGTTAGGGCAAAATTCACAATTTAAGGAATTGGCTCCTTTTAGATTTAAGAGTGCATCTAACCTGCTTCATGTTGTTTGACTCCATTTTGAAAAATCTTGGGGGGCATTCTGGGAAATGAAGTGTTTTTCCCCCCCCCATGTTCCATAAAATAAAGATCATCCACTTGTTAATGTCATGCTTCACTATTTCTGGGACCAAATGTTCTATCAGATTCCAAAACAAACAACAAATGGTGCTAATATACACTCGTGATGTGCTGTAGTTACCAAAATATCGGGAAAGAACGAAGGAAATCATGAAGGAAAGAGTTTATAAATCATACTAAATGATGAGGGTTAGGGTTAGAAGATCAAATATAAAGGTCGTACCATATAAAAATCAATATGTCTATGGAGAGTCCCTGTGTGTTTGTGTGTGTGTGTGTGTGTGTGTGTGTGTGTGTGTGTAAACATTTATGCTTGTGAAACATCCCGGTTAATGGCAGAACACTTTGCTTGCTCAATATGTTATATCACGTACCAAACACTACACGTGTACGAAACAGGGCATGTTGTGCCGTGCCTGTTTGATTCTGTAGGGCAGGTGTGAGATAAATGTACAGGCTGGAGGCTTTTGTCTGTGTTTATTCAGTTGTTTCATTTTAATTATTGTTCTAGCAGTTTTATACAGGATCATGTCCAAGTGTATTGTTATTATTTCAATAGTAATGACAACCACATGCAGGGTGTAGAAGACCAATCACCAGGTGACTCAGAGAAAGGGAGGAATTATGGGAAGGGTGTCATTGTTTTGGCATATGTAATAGTATCATCTCTAGTATATGGACTGTGGGAATGTGGAGGTGGCTACATATCACATTCCTCTGGTGAACAGGTTATAATATTTGGCTGTGTTCTCACATGCATTTATTTGTGATCACTGGAAGAACGAACGAACAAGGGCAATGCTGTGTGATTACTGTGATTTTAGTCTCTTAGATAACTTACTCAAATTAAAAGAGGCCACTTTAAAGTTCTTTATAATATTCTGATCTATAAATTTGTCTCTCTCATAATCCTAAGATGCATGCAATCGGAATGTCGTTCATGTGTAATCACCATAAACAATTATTGCATGTCTGCCAGTGTTAGAGCAAAGATGCAAGTGAAATTAATCTGAGCTACTATCTAAAGACCCTGAAGCTTAAAAACACCAGTCAACCATCAAGGCCTTTCCAAAGGTTCTCCATAGGTTGCAGACATGTCTGTGTTCAGACCAAGAGTTGTGATTGGTTACTTGTGACACGTGGCAGTCTATGTCCCGCCCCCATAATGAGGAATGTGGAGAGGGAGGGACAGGCAATATTTACAAACACTGTTTAAAGAGACAGAGCTCACATAACACCATATTACCCGCAGTACCAGAAATGCACCGTAGCAGCCCAAGCCAGACCAGTGACATTATTTCAACCCGGCACCTTCAACAAGCCAAAGGCAATGACAATATAATCAAAGGAGTGATGCACGTCTGTGAAATCACTTCATATCTTTAACCACAGCTCGCTTGGCCTTTATTTCCATGGTTACACAATTCTGACTCCACAGTTTGAATGATTTTCAACTTCGCTTGATAAAAAGAATTTTATTAACAGTGTAAACATCTATATAACTTTATTCTTGCTCAGCATTACTCTATAGAAGATAAAACAACACAAGCCATACTAAATGATGTCTGTCCTCTAAGGCTGACTGTAGATTTGTGCGATTTCATAAGCGATTTTTTTAATAACTATATGACACAAGGAATCGCTGATAGCACTATCTGGGTTGTGGCTAGAAGGGATACAGCAAAAACCGGAAACTAACTATAAATTAATTTTTCTACCTATTAGATTGTGTTTTATTAACGTCTACACCTACCCCAACCCTAAACCTACCCCTTACAATAATGCAAAAATAGTAATTATTGTTGTACAGTGTAAGAAAAATGACGCTATATTGATGTGCGCATGCCCAGTAGTTTTTGCTGTATCCCTTCTAGCCTTAACCCACTATCTGCCCGACCCCCACCGCTTCACGTACAGCGCTGGATCTGGTGTAAAGCTCTGATTGGTCCAGCGGCCGGAGTGGGCGGAGTCAGGCCGTTGCTACCAGCGCCGTGACGTCACAATCAGCTGTTTTGAACGTTCTATATTCTGATCTGCGGATCAGCTGGCGAAGCAATAACATCACAAACCATATCTGCTGGAAACACACACACACACACACACACACAAGCTGCAGATGCTCCGACTGAAACGACGTGTAAACCAGAATTTACACGCAGATTTCTTCTGAGAAGAAAGACTTTTTCATATTTTTTGTGAATTTACTACCTCATATAAAGAGAACACCTAAAGCTATGCTTTAAGATTTTTGTGGTTTTTATTGTGTGGTCGTCGCGTTTACAACTTGAATACTTTTGCAGGTAAGACAGGTAAGATCTCTTTCAGTCTTTTAAAGCGAGATCTGTTTCGGAGCAGAATTTAGTCTGGACTAGATCAGACCTGCCTTGTAGAACGCAAGCGCTAATAACATCTGTCCATAAACTGCAGATTGTCCATAAATGGATCTGTATGAACTGTTTTATTCTCTTGTCATAAGACAGCATCATTACTGTTTTGCTCTGGTCACAGATCGTAGGACTCGTAGCAGTAACTAAACCAAAGAAAGACTTTTTCATATTTTTTGTGAATTTACTACCTCATATAAAGAGAACACCTAAAGCTATGCTTTAAGATTTTTGTGGTTTTTATTGTGTGGTCGTCGCGTTTACAACTTGAATAATTTTGCAGGTAAGACAGGTAAGATCTCTTTCAGTCTTTTAAAGCGAGATCTGTTTCGGAGCAGAATTTAGACCTGCCTTGTAGAAAGCAAGCGCTAATAACATCTGTCCATAAACTGCAGATTGTCCATAAATGGATCTGTATGAACTGTTTTATTCTCTTGTCATAAGACAGCATCATTACTGTTTTGCTCTGGTCACAGATCGTAGGACTCGTAGCAGTAACTAAACCAAGCCAGTCGATGGTTTTCTCGTGTCTTTTCTTACAGAAGTCGTCCTAAAATAGCCAATCGTTGGTCATGCCAATATTGTGTTTTCAAGTCGACGTTTGGGGTTGATTTCTGATATTTTACGACAGGGACAAGCCTGTATCTGTTACTCGTTTATCATCCGTCGGATTGTGATGAAACCAGCTTTATTACTGAACAGAATGTGATTTTTAGGTTTTGCACTCATGTTCGTGTTTTGCTGTACTGTTTTTCAAGCATATGGCCACGGCTGCCCAGTATTCACACAGGATACGTCGGTAAACACACGATTCGATGTTGTTTTCAAGCAGCATCTGTCAGACGAACGATAAATTCATTTTCATAAACGCATTTTCCTTCCTGGTGAATGCATTCAGTTTATCTGAGAAAAAGAAAAAACTATTTTCATATCTTGCTGCTAAAGCCATAGTCATAAACAGGGTTGTTTTTGCTGGTTTCTATCAGAATGACCCTGCTTCCTTTCTGTTATTTCATCCTCTGTCCGCTGGTCTCACGAGGGCGGGGTCAGTTGCGCCTGTGACGCCATCGTCACGCAGGGTTGAAGCCCCGCCCACTGACGGACACTTTTAGACAGCCCGCCTGCAGGGGAGCCTTATGTATGAACTATTTGTTCGTATTATGTATATACGAACAAATAGTTCACATATACTGTATATATAGTTCATGGATCACTCATAACTATAATGGTAATTGTAATCTCTCTTATGATTAAAATTCAATTTAAAATTCTAACAGAGACTGGTAGATACTGGTTAAATGTAATATTCATATTCCAGTCATAATTAACAAGTACCGGTCAACCTAAAATTACAAGATAAAAATATTACATTTAAAAGAAATGTAGCGTGTTTAGGACCATTATGATTTTTTTTACACTGTGACATTATTTTCATGACAGTTTTATGACAAAGTGTATTTCCACCCTAAATACCAATTCTGTAATGCAAAAAAAAAATAAGAATAAAAAAATTACATTTACATAATAGTGATACAAATAATTTCTGAACCACATTATTATATTATATTATATTTATTATATTATATTATAAAATGTCACCAAATACTTGTAGTGCCACCAAATCTGTTGTTCTAGAGGTTGCTAAATGTTATTTTTATGAAATGTTGGTTTCTTGACCAATTCTGTTCTTCTTTTTTTCTCTGTCTTTATCAAATGTAGATCTTTGCACCAAGTGAGACCTTATATTACACTGCGCCTTCTCTGAGACTCAAAAAAGGCCCATACACCTGTGATCAACCTGCCATCTGTTACATCACTGAAAAACAACAACATTAGTGACTATAGTTAATAAAATAGCTATTAAAAAAAAAAACCTTATACGGCAGCTATCCCTCAGGAAACAAAAAACTGTGACCTTTGACCTCCGAGACAGTCATGTTCCAGCGGTTCACCAGTTTGTTCTTCGGAAGCGAAGAAGAAGTTACTCCAGATCTGAAGGGACCGAAGCCCTGTGTGTCTGAGGCTGATGAAGAGGGATGGCTCCTGGTCAATCTGCACGGTGAGTGTCCTACACAAACAACGAGAAACACTGTCTTTAATGGGACATACATTTATACAGATCACAAAATAAAGGCAAGGAGTAAATTATATGCATGGTAGTTTCAAGTCTGAAGAGTATGTTGGGGTAACAAGGCAACAATCTACTGTATGCAGTGGATTAATATTAATATATTAATTTTGAAAACATCAGCTTGGTTCCAAAACCTAGTGAACTGCCTAAGGCAGCTATCTTCTGAGGCAACATCACAACCACCACAGAACCTGGTCTGAAATGTTTTTATATTGCCAGCAACTGTTTTTTCAGTCACATATGAAAAGCACACAGGAATCAAATGCTAACATTGTTGATTCCAATAGCGTTTGACATTAGCATGTTGCTAAGCTAAAAATGTGATACTCTAAGGCCCAAAACATACTTTATGTGAGTATGTAAACATAAACACTTCTAGCTACACATGCTCAATTTTGTGTGTTGTTGAGTTCCAAAATGTGCCAGACCGCAATTAATAACGCAAAGAATGCAAATGGTGCTATAATGTGCATTAGCACAAATAGCAACATTAACTAAATTAGCATAGTTTTCTATTCCAGATCAACTACCATCACAGTCCGAAACCACATACTGTCTAGTAAATACTACATTTGATTTGAAAGAATTAAAAAATGTTCTATATAGTCTAAATATGAGTAGTATGAATATAATTCGGATGTACTACAGCCACCATGTTGTCACATGACCTACCAGCGTCAGTTGTGTGCCATTCACAACTCCTCTCTTCATAGTAAAGAGGACATCAAATGCACACTCCAGAACCTCTCTGGAAAGTAGTAGGCCATTCGAACGCAGCAGTTGCTTATCTCTAAGCAACTGTCAACATGTTTATAACTACCTGAAATAATAGCCTGGTTTAATGAACAGGCATTCAAAGGTAACTCTGTCACCCTCTTGAGATCTGAGTTTTGTTACTCCCACAGGACATAAGTAAGGTGAAGTGTGTAACTTCAGTGCCAATCTCCCCTTATATTAGCCATTATTCCCGACAGTCCCATCCAACTGTGCCAATGGTTGAGCCAGTGTTGCTATACTGGTTCCAATTGGGCCTTTTACTAGAAATGACACATATCCCTTTTGCAATGCTGCACATGGCGTCTCACTAGGTTTTGGAACAAAGTCGTTGAGACTTTATAAAGTAATACATGGTGATAATGATATTTTAAAAGGGTTATAAGACACTAATGGCAGTATTCCTATTTTCTATATTTTTCTGTATCCCTTCTCATTTGTCCATATTTGAATGAATTCCTTTTTTTGGTATGTGTGCTCATGGTACTGGCATCCCCCACTCGCATGGCTTCAACCAAACCTTTCATATTCTGGAAACACACCCTGTTCTGTCTTCTGTCACTTCCTACTTCACTGAAGGTGAGGATGGGCCAGAGGCAGCTTCAGTAGCATGCGCCCGTCCCCGCAGTGAATGTCATGCATCTCAGATATGCGGCCCCTCTCCTCCCACCTGCAGAAACCGCAGGACTAGAGCAGGCAGAATACAGGCAGCACATCCTTCCTTCCCTTCCATCAGCTCTCCTCCTGATCCCGCCTCCTTCTCTCACCTTGAGTCAGTAGAAGTGAATGTGTTCTTAAGCGAGCGGGGCTCAAGCTCCTGTAGTGACTGCAGCATGGATGAGAGCTGGTTTGTCACCCCTCCCCCCTGTTTTACTGCAGAGGGAGCCACGGCGGAGGCTAGCCCCATGGAGGACCTCCTCATCGAGCACCCCAGCATGTCCGTGTACGTCTCAGCTGGCCCTCTCCCGGTGGAAGAGAGCACCACCAGCTTGGCTGGCAGTGTCAGGTAAATTTCACTTCTGCTGTTTGCATTCTTTTCTGCCGTGAGATTTTACTTCGTTTCTGTTATTTGTGAAATAAAATGACAGAATGTCTTGTTGTAACAATTGGTTAGGACAAAAACATGGAAGGACTAATGCTGGGGTGTCCAATCCTGTTCCTGGAGGGCCAATGTCCTGCAGAGTTTAGCTCCAATCCCAATTAAACACACCTGAACCAGCTAATCAAGGTCTTACTAGGCAAACTGGAAACTTCCAGGCAGGTGTGCTGAGGCAAGCTGAAGCTAAACTCTGCAGGACAGTGGCCCTCCAGGACCAAGTTTGGACACCCCTGGACTAACACATCTTTATTACTTGCTGACATTGGACATTTTGTTGAGCCTATTTCAGGGATCCTAGGAGTTTTGCTCCAACCTTAATCAGAAAAAATCTGCATTCGTGTCATATCCTGTCTACTGAGATATTTTCATCTGATTGATTTTTGAAGGCAGCATAGATGTATCCTTCGCTGCACCTTTGATATCCCACAATCCTATGCATTCGATTCCGAATTGAGCTAAAAATAAAGATGGCATCTGAAAGTTGTAGTTAGTTTGTTTAAATGTATGTTTTTTTCCAACTTTTTCCACTTTTGATTTCATTCTAGCAAGAAATGAGTACTGTAGTAATTAAATATTTGCTTAGTTATTACAAAAGCTCTTTCTGTTTTGCTGTAGATCATTAAACTATTATGCCACCTCAGAAGCCCATCCAAAATCAATTTCGGAAGGTACCTTTGTTCGTAAATGCTGTCATGCAATCAGCTTTCGGACATAGCCTTTAAGAAATTCACGTATTATAGGACCACCTGGTGGACAATTTTTACAAAATTTGGTACACTGCCTCTAAAACGTGCTCTGCACTAATATTCTCAATATCAAAAAGATCAGACATTCCCGATAGAAAATATAGGCCAATTGAAAATATTGGCTGTTGATAACCATTTTTGTTCAACTATAAACCAATGCATTCAAAATCTGTATATGATTAATATTGTAGGACAGGTGTCCAAACCTGTTCCTGAAAGGCCACTGTCCTGCAGAGTTTATCTCCAACCTGAACAAAGACTGTATCAGAAATTGCCCACTATACCCTTATTCACTATTCCCTACATTAGGCCACTAATACAGTTCACTTGAAGGAGTGAATGAAAACGAGTGAGTGAGTGCACCAGAAGGACTGCCGCTTTTGCATAGTTTGTGCTTGCTCTTTAATAATCATTTAAAACTGGCAGCTCCAGTAGTAAGATTAAAGGATTTATCTTGAACTCTGTCATGGAAATTATGCATAAACCCTAGTTCAACAATATAATAATCAATTTACAATAAATTTCTACCTGTGTTGTATTACACTGTATTACGCCATGGACAAGCGGTTTGTAAAATGAATGGATGGATGATTCAGCTGCGGGCGCCTTCTTCTGGCGAGATGCGGGAATTCATTCAGCGTGCGACTCTCACAGTGCATTATGGGTATTCTCTAGCCGTTGAGCGTGCACCGGTTGTACACTCGGTGCATTGTGGAACTGAATGAGTGCATGCGAGAACGTCCACTATTGTTTCGGACACCACTACAAATGGCTGTCCCCTCAAATAGGGCCCAATTTAAAGATATAGGGTGCAATTTCAGATAGAGCCAAACTAATCATGATCTTCAGACTTACTAGAAACTTCCAGGCAAGCGTGTTGGTGCTGGTTGGAGCTAAACTCTTCAGGATGTTTGCCCTCCAGGAGCAGGTTTGGACACCCCTTTTGTAGGATTTGTCAGCAAGGGTGTACAATCCTGGTCCTCAAGGGCCTCCTGCAGAGTTTATCTCCACCCCCAATTAAACACACCTGAACCAGATAATCAAGGTGTGTTGGGGCAAACTGGAGATAAACTCTGCAGGACCTTGGCTCTCCAGGAGCAGGTTTGGACACCCCCAGTCTAGCGTAGCCAGACCATCAGACTGACGGCTGAAGGTCTGGAATCCATGGCAGCTTTCTTTGGCCAAGTCCCGCCCATGAGGCCGTTTAACCGACATGTCAAACAACCAATCACAGTTCGTTTCATTCAGCGGCACGTTTCGGGGCGTGGAAATGTCACCACAATAACAGAACGGTGTGTAAAACTCTCGGACGTATTTGAAAGATTCTGTGCCATGAACTTTAAATATTTCACATACTTTTGAGAATCCAGCGTTTAGTTGATCCTGATAAGCGCTCGTCGTCACAGTTGTAAACACGACGGCTTTCTTCTTTCGTGAGGGGGTTTGGCGCCACGGTATCCTTGTTCCCAGGCGGAACCTTATAGAATGCGACACACGTCTCCCGGAAATCCTGTAGAATTCAACAAATCCGATGACGACTTCGAAACTCCTGAAGTGTTTCCACTTTTGTGTGCCATATGCATCAGACATTCAGCCAATGGTCCATGGGCGTGACGTCTGAGGCTGAGACTAGGACACCCCTGATTTAAACCAAAAAAAATCATGCTGAATATCAAAACGTTAATTCAGTTGTTTCAGAGTTTTGAGGACACTGTCTTAATTTTGTCTTCCATCTTCTTTTCTTCTCATTTCAATTTCACTCCATTCTGTACATTTGCTTCTCACTCAAACGTATCCCATTCTTCCTCCTATCTGCACTGTTCCAGCCGGATGTCTGAATCAGCAGTGCCTGCTGTGACCAGGAGCAGCATGCCCACACGGGTGACCCGAGGAGCAGCCGCACAGGCTGGAGCCCTTGCTAAAGTCACCCAGGTCTCCAGGGTCCAGAGGGCCAAAGCCCGCACTGAGCGTCGCCACCTGGCACGCAACCGCATGCAGCGACAAAACCGTGTGCGTGAACAGGTCCAACGGCGTGCGACCCACACCCGCAACTCCTTCCTGCACCAACCGTGCCAGCGCAACGTCTGCCACTGAGGCATCAAAGTTTACATTGAGGGCATTATTACACACCCCAAGAAACCCACACCTCCCAATGAATCCCCTACCTTCTTAATTGACCTCTAAAGTCCTCCTTTTGCTTTTACTGGTTTTATGTCAATAATTTTATTCAGTTTCATATTAATCAAGTTTGTTTTTGAGCACCAGCCTAAATCAGTTTCCCAGTCTGGGAGTATAGCTGAAAAGGAGACACGTGTAAACTCTGTATCTTTACATGTATCCCTCTAAATGTATAACAATGACACTTCAGGTACATTGGCACTGTTCGTTGAAATATAATCAGGTTAAATTGTCAAAAGAATGAACCAAGCACTGAATGCTTCATTGAAACATGACCCTAAGATTTCCAGAAGAGATTCGTACCCTGCAATGTCACATTTAAGAAAAGCTACTACAGCAATAGAAGGGTCACTTAAAAACAACAAGAATGAGATGTATGTAATAATAATAATAATTCATTACATTTATATAGCGCTTTTCTAGGCACTCAAAGCGCTTTACATTGTCAGGGGGTATCTCCTCATCCACCACCAGTGTGCAGCATCCACCACTTTATCTATGTAGATAAAGGTGTGAGCAAGAATAGAAACAGATACAAGCAGTTGAGAGTTTGCAGAGCAAGACAAATCTAGTGGGATATGTTTGTAAAGAGGTCATTTCAAAGTAGATGTTGCTGCCTGATTTTCAGCATAGTGGTGCTAACTTTCAAAAGTAATTCAACCCCCAAACAATTTCATTTAATTGTTTGCTATTATATGACCTCTGTTCCTAAACCTAGTGGGATCCCTATCTAGACAGCATCTAGGAAACACATTTTATAGGTGTGCTTCCACAAAGGCAGTATCCTTCAAAGAGAAGACAGTTTCAATGAAGAAATCAATTCAAGATGGTGGAGAAAGCGGGCACTGTCAATTCTGTACATACTCTGAATGGGAAAAAATACCCCAGTGTATTTAAAAATAGATATTTTCACCCAATATTTATGTGTGCTATGAATTTGTGCTTATTAGAGTGTTGCCTTGCGCTAGCTTAGCAACATGCTAACACCAAACTCTATTGGAATCAACTGTAAGCATCAAAACTCTTGTGCACTTTGTAACTCATTCAGTACCAAAAAGTATAGAAAACAGCTTAGCAACATGTTACCATCAAAATCTATTGAAGTCTATTTTAATTCATGTCTCTTGAGGCAGCTTCTTAAGGAATCTAGCTCACTAGATTTTGAAACGGAGCCTTCAGGTAAACTGAGGTCGAGTCCATCATGAATAGTACTCATACTATGCCAACAACACATTACTAATTATCTTTACAGCTCACATGATCAACATATAGAACGAGGAGAGGTTGCCATAGGCTATGGATATAATTGCTTAGAATGTGCAGGATAGTATAGATTGTGACTCTATTTGCTTCATGGAGGATTACTGATGGGTGAATCTCACAAAACATGTCAAGATGGCTGCATATTGTGCATATTACAATTGCTTTTGATTTTGGGATGCAATTTGTCTTGATGTTTTTGTGAGATTGACCACAAAAAAAATAATAAAAAATCAGTCCCTTCATGTGCTTGTCCACTGCAAAGTTTTCAGTGTAGCTCGAAAGTTCCCCTGTCACTAGGGGTTGAATGACTTCTGATTTTATAAAGTCGACTTTTATGTGATGAAAGTCGAGTCGAAGTCGACTAGTCGCTGATGACGTCATTAATGAACAAATGAACAAAGTCTGGAGCTAAGACTCGAACACCTTGTGCACAGCTATGGCATATGACACAGCGCTGCCCACATGACTATTGCTCTTATAACGGCTCATTTTTATCAGTTCTTTTGTCTTTGGGTCGTTATATTTCTCACAGATTTCTGCTCGTTCTAAATCAGATACAGATAAAGTAGCACAGTAAAGACTACATTAATAGGAATGCATTAGTGAGAGCGATTGCGTGTGTGAATTAATTCTACCTGGCAGCGTCTCTCTACTAGTAGTGAAGCTGTGGGATTTAGTTATTAAGAAATATATGCTTGAACTTTTCAGTTTCTAAGCTATTTTATTGAGAAATCACAGAACAGTGTTGACAATAAATTTCCACTCTGAATGATTGTGCGCACGCGATCTGCGCGTGATGTACTGTACGAGCTACTGTATGTAGCCTATGTGTGTGCGTTACATTGCAGCAGCGCATTAGATTAGAACGGCAATTAACTTACCTGTACAATAAGCTGTTTAAAACGTGCATTCTCCCGTTCAATTTCGAGCATCCAGTAATATAAATCACACAGGTCTTGTGGAGCGCTTTCAGAGTATGCATTTATTTGTCATTTGAACTGTTTGGAAACGGAGCGTAAATGTGGAAGTCCTTCAAAGATTTCTTATCCTGTTGAGCCCTCTATAGGACCAGCGACTAGTCGACGTCAAGCTTAAAGCGTCATGGCAGAGCATTGAAGTCGACTAGTCGATTAGTCGGTGCAACCCCTACCTGTCACGCACTTAATGATTTGTGAGAAATCACTGTGACCACAGAGACAAAGAACGAAAACGTTTCCCATGACCATTTCTCTGCTTCTCAAAACATCCGTTTTTCAGACAATGCTATTATTTGCATTTCATCATACCTCTTAAATATTGATTATACGATTGTGCTTTACATCTTCATTGTATTCTGATGTCTGTCGATCAGAGGTTGCTGGGTCATCGTCTCTCTTGTGACGGACCCAGCACACATGCACTCACACTAACGCATACGTCGAATCCTAAAATGTGCTCTTTCTTGATAGTGAGCGAATACTCTCGGCACTTTTACAGGAAATGCGTCCACCATCTTTCTTATGTGTATTCAGTAATGAATAGACTAACTATGGTGCTGAAAGTATACAATTATATGACTGTTTGTACATTTTTGAGACTTTGAGAAGTTTGCACTGTCTTACGTTTTTATGGAGGATCATGGTGTTTAGCAGTATGCTGTTTTCGTTTGCAATGGTGAATGAGATGCCAACATGCATGAGTTGGGGAAAAAAGCTACCTTAAGAGGTAAACAATTAGTTGCATTCACGTGTATATAATTGCAAACTATTTACAGTGTTTGCGTTATTTTCATTTTGAAACATCACCTTCCTGTTTTCATGGTATCGTTTAACCATATGTTGTTCCAAAAACTTGAGTACACTTCATTCTACTGGGTATTTTATGATAGGAACCAACATTTGCCATGTTGTCAATACCACCATTGAGCTGTTTTGCATTGAGGGGATTTGATTTTACATGCAATTTTCTTTTATTTCTTCTCTCAGTTTAATGTTGAATCATTTTAAGAGTTCTTCTTGTAGACTTTTCTATCACCTGCCAAAATCTATTAATATAGTAGGCTATCTATTAACAAAATAATGTAAGTATAATGTAAATCTAAATATGCTTTTATTTCTTTGTTTTCATTTGAAACTGACTGTTTCTACATTATATTGACTCCACAGAGAGTGCAGTACGAATGTCAGTGGTGTATCTAGGAAAATCCAATGCCCTGCAGCCTTACAAGGGTCCTTAACATCGTCCACTTGAAGGTCGTCTTCTATTTGCATTGTTTCTACATGTTAGATGAAGTGGACAAGGCATGAGCATTAAATCAGTGATCTCTGCCCTCTGAACAGATCCGCCACTGCTGTTCAGGGTAACACCTGGTTACTGTATACTCTGTGTTATTTGTGTGTGTGTGTTCAATATGATTCATTTCATTTGTGGGACTAGAATGATGTCCGTTAGGCCTCACGAGAGGCTGGTGGAAGAGATAGTTATTTGTGATTTAAGGGAGGCTTGACTGAAAACATGAAATGAGAAAAGACAACACAAATAAATATGCTTGTATTTTTTCCTCATGTTGTTATTAGAAGAGATGTTCACCTTAGTAACAAAGTACAAATAGAGTATTAAAAATGATCGGTATATGATATCTATGGTGATTGTGCCTTTCACTGTTCTGCATGGTTTTCATGATGTGCCGACTGTTTCATCCACATGACATGGGCATCAGAGACCTATGCAAAATACTATGATGGGTTTCCAGCATCTTTGCAGAAATGCAGGTACAAGACAATAACAATAAATACTCAGGATGCAACTGCAACATTTACCTGTGTGCTTGTTCTTTCTTCTGTCTTCATGCACATGACTTTAAAATACCTACAAGGAATGTTACAATTAAATATGACTCAAACATAAACATATAAAAATGAATAAATATGGTTATATATATATATATATATATATATACCTGATGTTTCGTATAGAAGGAAAGCCACAGTACTAGAGCGTAAAACCATGACACTAGATCTGTCAATCATAAAGAACGTACCATGGTTGCTACATAAAAATAAGGGTTAGCTACAGTGTAAACTTAATAATTGCATCGACATAGTCCACATTTCCGAGAAACTTCAGTGTGTTTGACGTGCATTTAATTATGCACACACAAAAGCCTTCTCGGGAGGGATGAGGGTTTGAGGAACCTGCTAAGCAGGATCCTCTTCTTTTCAATGATTGCTGCGCATGCGCAGTGTTTGATTCATTTAAAGAAATGGATGCAGTAATTCACCTGGACTAATATGTGACAAAGGATCTGAACGGCACATTTCACCTGTAAGTATGTTGAAAACGCTGGAGTTAAAACAATATTGCTGTCGTTTAAGTGCTGGTGTAAACAAAAGCATCATCCGGGCGTCTTTGGCCGTTGCATTGCGTTTTAAAACAGCGTGTAAGCTAAAAAAGACTACATAGTTAAAATAAATCAAACATCTCAACATCATTGTGTTCTGTTGTTCGCGTCGTGCGAACGCCAACGCCCGCACACCTGCGTCTGTAACATCGCGTTGATGTGTCAGCTGATCCTTCAGGGTTTCTGCTGCGTATCCGTGTAAAAACACCGAGCGTGTTAATCAGTTACAACACACGGCTCTGATCTGCGCAATAGTGCGGATGGAGATACAGATGGATGGAAATTAAGCGTGCTGTTTAACGCGCATCTCGTCGCGCGCTCCGCTTTATTTTAATTGTGTGCTTCACAAATAGCGCGTGCAGTCGACACGGATTATTTAGATCTGTAGCACTACAGTAGGCTAATATTGTGAAGGGGAACTGATCGGCGGCTCTTCATATGCGCATCCTGCTGTATGTGGTTTGACGAGGTGTTTTATTATATTATATCGACTGATTTACATGACTGTTGTTGTTGTTGTTTTTCTCTTTATCGCCTATAGGCCAGCGATGCTTTCGATATCAGCTATGAACGAACATCCACCAGGCCTTCATTGCTGTCAATGAATAAAAGATATAGAGGCCTGATCTATAATGTCACACTGGAAGTGATGAATTGTGATTTCAGATGAGTTTTGTATTAGAGATGGGTGTTGAATTGTTAATTCAGTTCAGGGTGACAATGTCAGGATAGTCAGTATAGTTCACAAAATGCAAAAAACATGTTTTTTATTTATTTATTTTGATCAGCGTTAAGATTTTAGGTTAAAATAATGCATTAGTGAAAATGTATATTTTCTTACGGGTCACCTTTTTTATTTTTATGGTTCGGTGGTTTGACATTTGTGAAAATGCAATATAGTATGTCAGTAAATATGGTCATAAAAACTGCATGCCTAATAGTTACAAAAGGAGAAGCATATGCTGTGTAAAATTGTTTTAGGTGGAGAATTGCGTGTCAGCTATTCATAAATATGCATATAAACAGGCAGTCAAACTAAGGCAAATAAATAAAAGCAGCGAATAGGTCGACACACAACAGAGAAAATCCTGATGAAACTCTCCGATCCTTTTCCTAGAGGTCAAGTCACATTTACTATGTAGCACTTTATACAATACAGATTGTTTCCAAAGCGGCTTCAGAGTAATAAACTGGAAAATAGTGTTAATGTTGCAAAATTAATCATGAAACAGCAGTTTCAAAACACAATAGTGTCATAGCTCCGTTTAGCTAATTGTTGATTCAGTTCACTAACGGTGTCAATATTCATCAGTTATGAAACTAATGTAGCTGTAAAGCAGCTCTTCAGAAGGCAATGTGTCATAATGCAGCTGAAGTCAGGTCCAGTCAAGCACACCTGAACCAGCTAATCCAGGTCTTCAGGGTTACGAGAAGAGAGCGGTTGTTCTCAGCACTGCACGTTTTGTATGTCTCTCTAATCAAACACACCTGATTCAGGCCTTCAGAGGCCAAGTCCTGAAATGGATGTGTGAGAATAAGGAGACGTTCATAATATGCGGTGTTGGGCGACTCCAGGAACAGGGTTGAGAGCCACTGCTGTAGAGAGATGGAGAAATGTTACCAGTTTTTTATAGCATGAGACAGTCTTTACCCTGTGCTACTGTATTCTGCTCAGTAGAGTGCTCCAGCTGTGGCTCTTGTTTGGAAGTTCAAATCACCCTGGGTCCCTTGACAAAAAACACAATAGGATTTTTCCATTGGTTTTTGGATTATTATAGAAAATGAGCTCTGTGATCAACAAACGTTTACAATTCTTACATGTTTTGTTCAAGATGATTTTCATGTGTGAACAACTTTTATGAATTTTAAAGCCTAAATACAACTGCCAGAAGTAAAAATCTAAATGTACGTTATAAACGGAGTGTACCACAGTCACATGACCACCATTAAGCTTTCAGCTACTCTTTCAGTCTTTAAGTTTGAGCAGTTTGCAAGAGCGCGATTACAAAGAAAATAAAACTGACAGCAGCTAGTTAGTAGATGAGTTTACCTGTTCACTGTGATGACGTTTAATATCTCTGACAACCTCTGTAGTCCCATTTAGCCACTTGTTAGTAGCTGCCTTTTAAAAAAATACCATAAGGGGGTATTACTGTGAAAATATCTTGAGCTTGTGTTCACCACAGACCTTATTTCAGGTATTTAACCAAAAACCCATTGGCTTCAGGACGATGGAACCGGATGTGCTAAAATGCGAACTCGTTTTACGGGTTTTGGACCTCATCCCCCCCTGTTGAAAAAAACAGCATATGCTGATTAGGTATGTTTTGACGCTGGGATGCTGGTTTAAGCTGGTCCTTTGCCAGCACATGACCAGCATAAACCAGCAAAAGGACCAGCTTAAACCAGCAAAGTACCAGTTTAAACCAGCATCCCAGCGTCAAAACATACCTAACCAGCATATGCTGGTTTTTTCAACAGGGCCTGCAGCACTCTCTATGTTATATTGAATAACTGTGCTATGAATTTATCAGCATTGCACTGAATTCCAGTTGGTGATTTCAGGTAAATCATGTACTCTCCGGCAGCCGATACGGGAGTGACGGTGGTTGAGAAGGATGCGGCTCTGAGCAGCGCGTATTCACCTGTGGACTACATGAGCATCACCAGCTTCCCTAGACTACCAGAAGATGAAGTTTCAGCCGACAACATCCTCAAATCACGCAAAGACAATGATAACTTCCTCAGTGAGCAGGACACAGGTAATGCGTTTGATCATAGTGCCGTCCGGTGTAGTGTCCACACAGTGGCCTGAGTTCTGTCCTGTCTCTGTGTGCAGACCCTGATCTGTTCCTGAAGTCGGCCCGACTGCAGCAGCTGCCCTCCTCTGCCTCAGACTTGGCCAGTCAGGACATCTCTCCTCTGAGAGAGACCAGCAGAGACCCGCTGGCGCAGGACTGCACCTGCACACATGACGGGCTGACCGTCATCATCACCGCCTGCCTGACCTTCGCCACGGGGGTCACCGTGGCCCTCATGATGCAGATCTACTTTGGGGACCCACAGGTGCTGTGAAGTACTACCTGCATTTTGGTTGGTTTTCAGTGAACGATGTACCTCAGATTGCTTTGCTCATTGAAGAAAGGTGTGTTATTTTAGGGCTGTCAGAATTAACACGATAATTGTGCAATAAATATAAAGGGTAAAATTTGAATGGTTCTAATATCTAGAATGGCTTTATGGTATTTAGTCTATAAACGCATTCATTTAGTATAAACAGAAATGCACAAAAATGCATTAAAAAAAGGCAGCACTAGTTATTCTGTCCAATCAGACTTATGAGGTTTGGATGGTGGAAGATAAAATGAAAATAAGGAAAAGTTCCAATAGATTTTTTTTGATGGATATATAAAAATAGATATTTTTTCCCCCCAAAAGAACAGAACTGTTCCTTATGTTAGTCTCTTCTGTCGTCAGGTGTATAATCAAGGCGCGGTGGTGACGGATGTGGCCCGCTGCACGTCTCTGGGCTTTGACGTTTTGGGCAAACAGGGGTCCAGCGTTGATGCTGCTATAGCTGCTTCCCTCTGCCTGGGCATCATCCATCCCCACACCTCGGGCATCGGCGGGTACGAGTGCTACTTCAGTGTTTCACAGCAGTCTTTGTTTACATTTATGTATTTAGCAGAGGCTTTTATCCGAAGCCACTTACAAAAAGAGGAACAAGGCAATTCATCACAGAGCAAACGATAGTTGCACAATGCAATGTTTATTAGACAACTAGATTAGAAAGCGAGCTAGAGAAGAGGAGAAATGCAGAGAAGATATGTGTGTGTGTGTGTGTGTGTGTGTGTGCAGAAAAATGCTTGCAGGAAAGGTGTGTCTTCAGCGGTTTCTTGAAAGATGTGATGTACGTCATTTCTTAAATATTGTATTCTGAAAGTCTATTTAAAATGCCTATTTTTTTTGCTTACATACAAATTTAATTTTGGGGTCTGCTACAATACATTGAAATGATTTCAATAAAAAACAAAAACCTAGTTTTTCTCATTCTGTACATTGACCGGAGCCCTGCAGAGTTGGAACAGTGTTGGAACTAAACTCTGCAGGGCTCTGGTTCCCAGGAATTGAGTCTGACACCCCTGCTCTAGAGTAAAACTTGCTCACAAATTAATGTGAAACAGTGTACAATGTCCATTTTTGGTTTAAATGTTATATTGAAAGTCTGGCCAGAAATCTATGTTAAAGGACAATGCTTGACGCGGGAAAAAAAAGGCCCAGTTTTGACTTTAGTTTTCTCACAAGGTACTGAATAGGAGGCCCAAACGAAAGATAATCTTATACTTGGATACTACTTCAGTCTCCAAGCCTTGAAGAGTAGTAATTGAGCATGAGTTTGAAAGTGCAGACTTTCTTTTTGTAAACATCATAAGTTTAGATTTCTCCGCATTTAAAACCAGTTTTAAATCGCTCAGTGTATGCTGAACTGCATCAAAATCAGATTGAAGGTGACTCAGAGCCTGATCCAATGTTGATGCATAGGAGTAAATCACCATATCATCAGCATATAAATGAAAACTTCAATGTGCGAGATTATTCCCAATATTATTAATATATTAAAAAAATAATAATGGCCCAAGGATCGATCCCTGTGGTACGCCGATATTTACATTCAGAGTACTAGAAGTCAGTTTCTCTATATTTATACATTGAGATATATCCGATAAGTAATTAACAAACCATCCAACAGTATTTACTGAATATATTGAAATATATTATATTGAAAGTCTGGCCAGAAATCTCTGTTAAAGGATTTTTTTAAAAACATCCTTTTCCAGTAAATCACTTATAACTGAAACGGTCATGGAAATTCTCTGGTGAAAAATTCCAGGAATCCTGTAGAAAGTTTTGTAAGAAGGAAAAAACATCCTTTTCCAGTAAATCACTTATAACTGAAACGGTCATGGAAATTCACTGGTGAAAAATTCCAGGAATCCTGTAGAAAGTTTTGTAAGAAGGCACATGCGCAGGGGAAGAGAAATTGATTTTGTGTGTGATGAATGAGAAACAGTGAGTGACTGTATGTGGCGCTCTTCTCAGTGGTGGCGTGATGCTGGTCCATGACATCCGCAGGAATGAGAGCCGGGTCATTGACTTCCGCGAGACGGCACCCTCTGGCATTCACGAGAACATGATGTTACATGTTAATCAAAGGGTAAAGGTTTATTTCCATCTGCTTTCATCTTCTCTTTAAGTGCGTCATATGGTGATGTTAAAAATCCAAAGCGAATTAATAAGTGCAAGTGTTTTCACAAGCACAGTATCTGTACTATGCTTGCTCTGCAGTGATGTGTGTCTTTCCTTGTGTCTGTTAGTCAGGTCTGTTAGTGGCTGTTCCCGGCATGATCAGTGGACTACACCAAGCTCATCAGCTCTATGGAAGGTACAGTGTCCTCACACACAGCAGATACAGATCTGACTGCTGGCCTAAAGTCTGGTTCACACTTCAGCTTATCTTGACTAAGAACCGCACAATTAGGCTGGAAGAGACTAAGCCACCAATGGCAGGATACTTTCAGGTGCAGGACCAGTGTTTTTTCTGTTGCAGCTACTCAGAACACTGTGGGTCTGTTTGCTCAGCTGAAGAGTGTAAAATTAGTCTCAAAGTGAGAAATGAGGGAAAAAAAGCAAGAAACTTGATTACTGAAGCCTACTGATGAGCTTTTTTTTTAGGTGGACTTTTTTCACACTGAGGTGCATAAGCTCAGATCAGTGAGGCCTATGATCAATCAGTTCCAAAATAAAGCAATAAGCTCCGTGAAGCCGTGGTTTACAGTGAATTTATAACAGCTAAGGGGCGTTGTTAGGCACGACGCGTAAAACGGTTATTCCATATACGTAGTAAGGTTTCACAAAATAAAACAGAGCAAATAAAGTGTAATGATAATAAAAACAGTATTCTTCCACCAAACAATGTAGTTCCTCAGAAACAGTTGTGGTTCCAACAAAGGAGTTGCCGAGCAACACACAGAAGTAAACAAAGGTGTATGTTTGTAGAGTAATTTACAACAGCTTCGAACGTGGCTCAGCCAATCAGAATCAAGGACCGGAACTTCCGTTTTATAAAGAGATATAAAACCTGTGCTAATTGAAAGAAAACGAGTTGACAGAATGATTGAATATTTCATTATAATATAGCATTTTTGACGAGGAGCACCAGCTTAGATGAAGGATTTTCAACACCGCACGAGGGTTAATGGTGGCTGATGGAAAAGCAGCTTTGCATTAGTGTTTTCTCCCTCGTCTAGAATGCTGTGGAAGGACGTCATCACGATGGCTGCCGATGTGGCGAGGACTGGATTCAATGTGACGCATGAGCTGGGTGAGCATTCATCACACATGTGATTTACACTTTTGTGCAGTCTACAGGAAATGTCTGGTGACTTCAGCCGAGAAGACATTCTTTTTCAGAGGTTACTGCATTTTGATTATCAATACATTTGCACAGTAAGATTGTAAATGTATTATTTTATGTTGACGTTTAAGCAGTTTGGTATATCTCGCGTCATCTTTCACAGCTGATGCGCTGTCTGAAGTGAAGGAGCAGAATGTGTCGGATGCATTCAGAGGTCTGTTCCTGCTGAACGGTCAGGCTCCCCTCGCGGGACTCTTCACTAAACGTCTGGATTTAGCTGCCGTTCTGGACAGGATTGCAGCCAATGGAGTCTCAGAGTTCTACAGTGGGAATCTGACTCAGGAAATGACATCAGTGGTACGCCTCCAGTGCCATTTTAGTACTATTGATATATACTTTTTATAGTAATTATTTTTAATTTGCTATTTAAAATTTTTATTTTAGTTTGAGGAATTTTGTGCTTTTTTTTTTTTTTTTTTTTTTTTTTTTTTTTTTTTTTTTTCCTTTTTTTTTTTTTTTTTTTTTTTTTTTTTTATTTTTTTTTTTTTTTTTTGGTGTGTTTTTTTTTTTTTTTTTTTTTTTTTTTTTTTTTTTTTTCAGTTTTTTCCAGTTTTATTTTTTATTTCAGTTTTAACTTTATTTAAATGACTGAAAACAATTAATTGTTTTTTTTGTTGTTTTTTTTAAACACTGGTCTGACCTATCAGATCATTTAAAATCTTTCAAATACTCACATTTTTACCTATTTGTAGCTATTTTCTTTGTTTTACCAATAACTAATAGTTATATAACAGAACATATTCTAATATTAATATCATTATGTGTTTTTGTGGCCAGGTTCAAGCTAAAAGAGGTGTGCTGACAGAGGATGACTTCAAAAACTACACCACTGTCATACAGAAGCCACTGCAAAGTCTTTACCAGGGTAAACACACATCATAGATGTTTAATATGCTTAACTATTGCAGTTTATTACTTTATTAAATGCAGTAGTTTAGGTGTAGTAGTCTATTGACCTACCAGATCAAGTCCAGACAGTAAAGCAATAAAAACACTTCTGCTTTGCCCTATATCAGTTTCATAATAGTGCATAATTGCTGTTGTTATTCGACTTCTCAAAACTGGAAAGTCAAGTGGAAATTTGACAACGCTGCAATTCAGCAGAATTTTTTAGAAAGTACACAATAGTCATGCTTGGGTAAAGATGTTTGTTTGGAAGCAGACTGAGTAAAAGTTAGAGTAGTCCATAAAAAATATTCTAATGCATTAAAGTGACTGATATCTTATGTGCTTAAGTACCAAAAGTACAAGAGAATGACCATTTGCTTCTGGACAGTATTTCTGTTTTTGTTTTTATACACTTCTGCTATGCAGTTTGAGTGATGACTCATGAATTATGATAAAGGTCTGTTGTTTCGCTTGTACATAAGGTGTGTTATATTAAATGCAGATAGTAAAATCAGCATCATGAATTTTTTTTAAAAATGCACACCTGTGACACTAAAGAAACTACAGTTGGCTGATGAAAATTATTTATTTAATTTTATTTTAAGTGGGTTAAATGGTTTATTTGAATTTATTAAGTGGTTTAAGAACACCTTTTCTCTGTGCTACAATCACTATAATGGTCTCTGGTGGCTTATTGCTTAATGGAAACGTCATTAGATAAATGTAGACTCGACTGCTGCTGCATGGGTTAACGTAACGCTTAGGATTTTCCTGTTGCCTGTTTTGGAAAATCTGTTCTTCAAGCCATTGATCGCTCAGTTTTCCAGTAAGTTCAACACCACCTGCAGTCTCGAGTACCTCAGCAATATTTAAATTGCTCTGACAGGCTACCGGGTGTTAGTTCCTCCTCCGCCCCACGCGGGAGCCGCCCTGCTGTCCGCTCTCAACATCCTGGAGGGATTTAACATCACAAACCAGGTGTCCAGGAGCAGCGTTTACCACTGGATAGCTGAGGTACTGCAGCACTGTAACCAGCATTTCAGTTGATTTATGGCTTTAAATAAAGTGCAATAGTGATGTATTTATGCTTAATAATTTCTGCTTTTTTATATAACCCTGATGCACAACAGCATTCTTGTTTACTATTGTTTAAAAACTCCTGTCGGTTTAATTTCCTCCACATGTAGTCTCTGAAGATTGCTTTGTCTCAAGCCAGTGGACTGGGAGACTCCGTGTTCAATTCATCGGTTTCTGAGTTGGTGACGCAGATGCTCAGGTGGTTATTGAATCAAAGCTGAAATGGCATGTTTATTTCAACAGCAGTAATTGGATTGTTCACAGTGTGTTTCTGTACCACTTCCATGGCATTGGCTTAACCTTGGCTGGCTCTGACAGTAAAGACCAGGCTGCTGTGTTCCGGGAGAAGATCAGTGATTCGCAGGCGTCTGCGGCTGAGCACTACACGCCGTCATACGAGCTGCAGGAGGGCGCTGTGGCCAGCCAGCTCATGATCATGGGCACTGATGACTTGATCGTGTCTGTTATGAGGTGCGTTACTGGAGGGCCCCTGTCCTGCAGAGGTTAGCTCCAGCCACAGTCAAACACAACTGAACCAGCTAATCCAGGTCTTCAGACTCTCTAGACGCATCCAGGCTCTGGTGTGTTGAACTAAACTCTGCAGGAAAGCGGCCATCCAGGAGCAGGACTGGACACTGTAAATAAATGTTTAATTTGCATAATTAAAGGGATAGTTCACCCAAAAATGAAAATGTGATGTTTATCTGCTTACCCCCAGGGCATCCAAGATGTAGGTGACTTTGTTTCTTCAGGAGAACACAAACGAAGATTTTTAACTCAAACCGTTGCAGTCTGTCAGTCATATAATGGAACTGAACGGGCTCCACGGCTTTGAGAGTAAAAAAAACACACACCAGCTCTCTAAACCGGCCGTTTGGAAGCCGCATTGTGACACCCTCTGGGATTCTCCTGAACAGTCAGATGCTGGACTTCTCTTGGCCCAACAAAACCCACAGCGCTGCAGCTTACAATCAGGTGCTCCTAGATGCCTACACATGGCAAAAACAGGCACACACTCACAAAAACTTGCTGTTTGAATTATTTTTAACTTCTACATCCATCTTTTTTTTTTAAGATTTAAATAGTCATTCTATCCCTCTCTCTTTTTTGCCATTTGGTTTGTAAGGTGCTCTTAAGCAATTTTGATAACTTCTGCCAAAAGCCTTTCCCTCTCTCCAAAACTCTTCCCCCCGAAGGCATGTCAGCAAAGCCCAATGTGCAAAATGAAGAATGAAACTATCATTGTGGAGTGTCACAGAATTCTGGGAGTGTAATTGCAATGTTTTTCCCTGTAAATTATAGGATGACTTTGTGAAATGTCCCATTAGATCTGTTATAGCAGGAGTGTCCAAATCTGTTCTTGGAGGAACACTGTCCGGCACAGTTTAGCTCCGACCCTAAGTGGTCGGCATTCACAGGTTTGCGACAGTCATTTACAGTTCACGTTGCACAGTAAAAAAAAAAAAGAGCCCAAAATGCTGGTCAGTGCGGTGCACATTGGGCATATGTGACCCTGGAGCACAAAACCAGTCTTAAAGGCACAATATGTAAGATGCTTTTATTAAAATATCCAAAAACCACTTGTGCAGTGTTATATATTTTGCTGACTTGTGTACTTGCATTATCCCAAATGTTTCGAAGAATGTTTAAATCCAGAGAAATAAGCAATTTTAACTAGTGACACGGACCGTGTCCATAGTGTCATTGTGTCGCCTGCCAATGACGTCAAAATATATTAAAACTTAATTTTTGATTAGTAATATGCATTGCTAAGAACTTCATTTGGACAACTTTAAAGGAGATTTTCTCAATATTTAGATTTTTTTGCACCCTCAGATTCCAGATTATCAAATAGCTGTATCTCAGTCAAATATGGTCCTATCCTAACAAACCATACATCAATGGAAAGCTTATCTATTCAGCTTTCAGATGATGTATAAATCTCAATTTAGAAAAATTGACACTTATGACTGGTTTTGTGGTCCAGGGTCACATATACTAAAAATGTAATTCATTTGTTGAAATCTGGAAGCCGTAAAAATAATGCCTTTTAAAAAATATGCACATAGCAGTCATAATAGTCAATACAATTCAAGTCTAATTTCAGGTAAAACCAAAGACAGAAAACATCAATATTTTTATACAATACACAATATTACGCAACGTCTATTATTAAATATTAATGTGACACATTTGCTGGTAATAAAGCCGTGACATGCTCTGCCTTCTCTTAAAAAATAACATTTTTATCATGTAGTTTATAAAGTGTAAAACATGTTGAAGATGAGTGAACAGGCTATAGATTCATTAAATGATGAGCTATTTCCTCTCAAAAGCTGTTTATTCAGCGTTGGCCGTTACACTTTTTTGGATAAACGTTGCAGGCTTGCCTTCCATTGGCTTTGCTGGAGACTTCTAGGCAAGTGTGTTGAAGCTGAACAGGAGCAGGACTGGGCACTCCTGTATTGTAGTTTTTCGCTGTATAGAGTAAGGGAACTTACCGTTAACAAATCATCAGGTTTTTACTGTTAAAGTTGCAGTTTTTCACAGTAAGTGATACGTGTCAGGATTGTAACATGTTGTGTGTTCTCATCAGCGTAACAGCATTGAGCCGGGCAAGAGGCCGGCCTCGTTCCTGACGCCGATCGCGGTGAGGCCGTCCGTGGGGCAGTGTGGCAGCTACGTGGCGCTGGGCTCCTCTAACGGCGAGCGGGCGCTGAGCGGCATCACGCAGGCAAGCTGTCTTTACTGTGCTGTGTGCATGGACTCTAGCACATCTCATTCGCTTGCTAACATCAGTCCCTAGCAGTGAGCACATATTCTGGTGTGTTTGCAGGTTTTGATCAATGTCTTGTCATCACGTAATAACATGAGCGACAGCGTGTCCTACGGCAGACTGCATCCTCTCATCCGGAACAACACCCTGCTGGTGGACTGTAAGCTCTCCATCGTTTACCGTAGTTTCCTCTGGATTTCATTTCAACCTTTTCTCTAATGTAGTGTATCGTGTATACTGCTTGTTCTTTTTTTCTTTTTCTTTTTCTTTTTTTTTTATAATAATGCCCAATGCACCCGAAAGAAGTCTCCTTTGCTCATCAAGGCTGCATTTATTTGATCAAAAATACTGTAGAAACAGTGATGTGAAATATTATTACAATTTAAAATAGATGTTTTCTGTTGTAATATATTCATTTGAAATGTGTCTTTACTGTCTGTTTGAATCCATTTAATGCATCCGTTCTGAATAAAAGTATTCATTTTAAAATAATCTTAATCTTAAAATAATAATAAAAAAAAAATAAAAGTTTTAATAAAAAACAAACTCACTAACTCCAAACGTTTGAACATTAGTGTATATGTAAAAAAAAAAAATCCTGAACATTTAGAGACGAGGAAATGCATCATTTAGATGCTTTCTAGGAAAGACAAATAATAAATAATCTTTTTATTATTATTAATAATACACAATTTGTAATGTCATCATCACTCTCATCCATTCAAGTAATTCTAATAAAAACTTACATACTGGTAAAAAAAAAATGTATAGCCTGAATGCACTGTAAGTCGCTTTGGATAAAAGCATCTGCTAAATGCATAAATGTAAATGTAAAAAACATCTGAAATATATAATTTAATATATATGAATTAATCAACGATTACAAACCTATATATATATATATAATATGGCATTTTTTTCGTTTCATTTTCATGCTTGGAAAATTGCAAAATAGCACAAGTCAGGTTATTAAATTGTATTTTTACATGCTGTATGTTGGTAACATTGCTGCAAAACCCATAACAATAGAGGATAAAACCAATGCTAATACAATGTTGAATTGAGAAGCTGAGTAAATGGTAAGTGCAATTTCTTAAAAAAAACTGCATTCCTGCATTCCAAGCCCTGTTTTGTACTCTCTATGTGGAAAGTGTCATATGTGACTCTTTAAATTCATTCAGAGCAAAACCCTTGCAGTACTGTTAGAGTACGACTGTAGATGTGTGATTTTGAGGGTGTAGTTCTGCTTTAATTCTCTTGTTCTCTGTCCAGCTAAGTTTCTTGAGGAGGATGTGAAGTCTCTGATGCAGAAGGGTCATGATGTGCGCAAGGTGGACATCATCTCACTGGTCGAAGGGACCCGGAGGACCAATGACCTGATCATCGGTGTGAAGGACCCGCGCAGCACTGACGCCTCAGCGCTGTCCATGTCCATGCCCTAGACTCACACTCTCTGCTGCTTGATTCTGATGCTGTTTGTGCACTAAATAGGGACGTTATGAGGTTTCCAAGTTGATGACTAAAATAGATGGATGATGTCCGGTAGATGGAAATGAGCCGCTCCCTGCTATCCACCACAAACACATGACATGTGACTCCTCTTTATTTTGTTTTGTTTTAATTTACCTAAAGATTTCAAGAACTATGTATGTTATCGCACATGACTGGATAAGTTAAAGGAATAGTTCACCCAAAAATGTAATTGCTGAAACTTTACTGATTGAAACTGATGAAGATCTGATTTCTGGAGAAATGTAGCATTGCATCAGTGTCTCGGTGCTCTGCAGTGAATGGGTGCCGTCAGAACGAGAGTCCAAACAGCTGATAAAAACATCACAATAATCCACACCACTCCAGTGCATCAGTTTTTAATGGATGATGTTTTGCTCAATTTCTTTGATGGTCTAAGGGTGAACAGGTTTTCACTTTTGGGTGAACTATTCCTTTAACTGCTCCAACACAGACAGTATGTGCCAAAACATTTGGACATATCTACTCATTATTTATGATTGATATTTTCCACATTGTGGAATTCTAGTAAAGGCATTAAAACGGTGAAATACCACAAAAGGAAGCATGGGAGTTATGTAGTGAAAATGTTAAAACCGATCTAAATAATGTCTAGAGTCCAGCTGAGCACACTTCTCTCAGAAACCCTCACGAGGAGCATCTTCAAGCAAATGAGCAGTATTGAAGGTGTTTCATGTGTGCTGCAGGCCTGCTGGCTGCTCTCATTCACTCATAAGATCACAAGGAACAAATTTAGTCAAGTGTGTCCAAACTTTTAACTTATCATAATTCAGAGTTATCTGAGGATGGTGTAGGATTATGAGAATTACTCCAGAGGCAGATAAAGGCAAATGAAAGGATTTTTTTCATATCTTGCAAGACCTTGCAAGGTCTCTTGAAGTCTTCATGAAGACGTACCTTCACAAATGTGAGTAAATGTTATCTGAAGTGAATAAATGCTCCTGTTTACGAATGAATGGTGGTACATATTATATATTGATTTTGAAGGTTTGGTGGGAACAAAATGGTAACAATTTGGTCTTATTTTATTAGTCAATCCAAACATCCTGGAATCATTCATGAAATGGTCTAAAATGAAGGAAGCTGAGAGAAATGTCAGTTATAAAATATGAGGTAAATAAGATCGATTTTCCTAGAGTTGCATAAGCTTTCAGATGCACAATTAAATTGTGGGTAACAATTTGCTGATGTAATTGTAATGCATTTTCTCTTTTATGTGGAAACCGTGAAATGAAGTTTTAGTTTATGCACATTTCTGAGAGACAATCATTGATTATTTAAAAGTGAAGTGAGCTTCCTGTTAATGGGCACATTTGGTATTTTCTGCCACAATTGAATATTATTGCACTATTACAGCATTACTGTTGTGTTTAGTAGCTTTACAGTGACAGTCATTACCGTGAAGAATAAATATTCATATGTAGTGTAGTTTCTTTGCATTATTTCTAAACTCATTCAGCATGCAGTTAGATGTACTCCTATAATCTATGCTTTGCATATGTTTAAAATGATCATATAGGCTTAAGAGCACTGGAAGGACTATAGATAGGGGAGAGTGGGGACGGTTGCGACATGGCTTATTTCTTCAGTCAGGAATGAGCTACAGTGATGTTCATACTGCACATGCTCAACTAGCCCCTCATCCTTCCTGGAAGAAAGCAGCCACATGTCACCATTCCTTCTACAAAAAAAAAAAAATCATTTTCATAGTAAAAAAATTTTTTTTTTTTTTTTAAATGATCAGATTTTTTTGTCATACTGTCTCTTAAGTTGTTTGCGTGAAGCATTGTAAAAACATAAGTTTAATCTGTGTTTTCTTATCTTCTAATAGGTATAGTATTTGTCAAAGATATTGTGTCAAGCTACTATAAGTTTTATCACGGCTGTCAGTGTTGGGACAGTTGAACCCGGTCTCAGCATGCTGTCCCTTACCACAATATTGATGTAAAAGCTTGCCATAACATTACATAATTGGAATTATGGATTAATAAAGAACCCCTTTCAATAGTTGGGTATCTCCTTTTTTAAGGAAATGGGTTAAAAATCAGTTTGAGTCTAAGGTGGACTAATTTCCTTCACTCTCACGTGTCATGCACACACACATACATCAAATGCACACACACACACTTACCTATAAGTCAGTTACATAAAAAGGTAGATTTGTCTAATTTGAAAAGTAAGACTGATAACCTCTTGGTTAACTGCTAGTTGGTCTAAACATAGTGGCTTTGATTTTTTAAATCTAATTACATGATGTGCCGATTAATTAATTGAATTAATCTCATTAATTCGATTCATTAATTGGCACATCATGTGCTGATTAACTAAAGGTAATTTAAAGTCATTATTTTGTTAAATTAGAAAAAAACTGAATAGACATTATAAAAAGCGCCAGTAGGTGGCGGCAAAGCGCTGTCTTAATGAGTGAGTCATTCATTCAGAAAAGAAGCAAATGAATGGCTCACTGAATCACTGGCTCAATCGATTCGTTCAAAAACCTGTATTCATGCAGTAATGAATCACCGCTGTGTGTTGATCAGAGACGCACAAGGGGCCCAATGTGGTGCCCTAGGCAAGATTTTAGCTGGTGCCCCTTGCATTGCAGCCAATTCCACCACCGATCATTCACACAGAAACTGCATAGCTTTATGACATAAAACAAATTACATATGAAATAAATAAGACGGTTGCACGATAAATAAATAAACTAAAATTAAATCAGCTAGCTATTTAAATTAGAGAACTTTATCGTCCAAAGGCAGCTACAATAGTAACATTTACATCTTAATTTCTTCATTTCATACATTTAGGTATGCACTGATCTTAACTTTTCATTGCAGAATCCAATACTGTTTAATGTATTTTATTTAAGCAAAAGACAAGAAAAAATGAAAATATGAGTGCTTGAAGAATATGGTTAGTTGCTTTATTAGCCTATATTGTGATCTAAATTAGACTGTATAATTTCAAAACCTGAAGCAAAGACAGAGTGGTCTGACTTTAGCTTTGTGAAACTAGGCTACATAAAACATAGCAAATGATGTCTGAATGACAATGCAAATTCACTCTCTGACAGCAGGTGGCGTTAAAGGAACAGCATTGATGCTTTGTTTCGTTGATTACCGCTGTAAACACAATGCATTATACAGAGGTAAGATGACAGGAAAATGCCATCTAGACTGTTTCTTAAAGGTGACATATCATGAAAATCTGATGTTTCCAGGTTTTAAGTGCTATAATCAGGTCTCCGGTGCATCTACCAACCAAGGAAATGTGAAAAAGATTAACCCAGTAACTTTGTTTTGGTAAGCCTTTTCCTGCAAGCGTCTGAGAAAACGAGCGCGTCTGATTTTGCTTCCTTGGTGACGTGGCAAAGGGATCTCATTATAATATTACCGCCCCTTAATCTATAAATGTAATACACCCACAGCGCCGTCATTGTGTTTTCGCAAGCACAACGGTGTACCAGTTCTAACGCCATGGCGAAAGTTTGAGCAAAACATGCTAACTGTTCTGTCTTTGGCTGCACAGACGAGCACAGAACACTGTTTAGAGTCCCAGCCTCAGAGGAGACAAGAGAGCAGTGGTCATGACTTCGGTCTGATCAGCAGGTTGTTGTTGTTTTTGTCTGTTTTGACAGTTCGTGACAGTTGATGTACTCATTGTCTTCGTGGTTTCCCTCCCCATCGTTATCTTATTAACTACTTTAGCTGCCGTCACACCTGTGGCTTGTTAATTCTTAATTCTCCTTCTTTTTAAGTTCCCCTCGTGTGTAGTCTTGTGTCTGACCGTTGTGGTGTGAACACGCTACTCTTCGTTCGTGACCTACTACCAGTCTTGTTGTGTTCTTGTCCTGCCGTGTTTTCATAGGCTCCAAGTACAGTTTAGTGTTTTCAGTTTGTCTTTTCCGCTCGCTCTCTGCCTCTCGTTTCACCAGTTTTCTGTTCCCCAGTTCCTGCCCTGGCATTACCAGAACCGCGCTTCGCGGCCTCTCCTCTCCTGCCCCTCTCGGCACACTCTACAAGGAACCCTCTGCCCTGACGTTGTGTCAGTACCGACGCTTGGACTCTGTGCGCGGTTCCCTCTCCACTCTGACGTTGCGTCAGCACTGACGCTGGGACTGTGTGCGCTGAGCTCCCTACGCTTTACCCTCCCTGCCTCGTGGAGTGACTGGAGGCTCGTTTGGACTGTTCCCGCTCGAGGTCTCTGCCTATATTGTGGGAAGCTTGGACACCGAGCCATCCGGTGTCCTTTAAAAGCCAGGGCCCATTAGTAAGCCGGGGGATCCTGATGGGCGCTTCTCCGTGTCTCGAGTCCCTCAAGTCTCGTACCCTGCAACCTGTCTCCGTTCAGTATGAGGACACCATTCACTCTTGTCCAGCTCTCGTTGATTCAGGAGCTGAGGGCAATTTCTTGGAAGTTTCTGTTGCAGCGCAGTGGGGCATTCCTGCCATTCCTCTCCCTTCCCCTATCTGTGTCCGCTCCCTCAATGGCCTTCTCCTTTCCTCCATCACCCACTCCACCCCTTCAGTAAGTCTAGTGGTCTCTGGCAATCACCGTGAGGTAATTGAGCTGTACCTCCTTGACTCCCCGGGTGCTCCTGTTGTCCTGGGGCACCCGTGGTTGGTGCAGCACAACCCTCACGTGGATTGGTCAGGGAACTCTGTGTTATCTTGGAGTCAGTCCTGTCTTGCTTCATGTTTAGGTGCTGCCTTGTCTCCTGTCTCCTTGTCTTCTGTGTTTCAGGTGGAGACTGCTGATCTCTCCGGAGTCCCGGCGGAGTACCACGATCTTTGCCGGGTCTTCAGTAAGTCCCGGGCCACGTCCTTACCTCCTCACTGGCCGTACGACTGTGCCATCAATCTCCTCCCAGGCTCTTCTCCGCCTAAAGGGCGTTTGTACTCCCTGTCTGGTCCTGAAAGAGGCCATGGACAAGTATATTAAAGAATCCTTAAATGCCGGCCTCATCCGTCCCTCTTCTTCACCTGCTGGCGCTGGGTTCTTCTTCGTTAAGAAGGATGGCTCCCTGCGTCCTTGCATTGATTATCGGGGTCTAAATGACATCACCATAAGAAACAGGTATCCTCTGCCTCTGATGTCATCTGCTTTTGAATTGTTACAGGGAGCCAAGGTCTTTACTAAATTAGACCTCCGCAATGCCTACCATTTGGTCCGTATCCGTGAGGGGGATGAGTGGAAGACAGCCTTCAATACCCCTACGGGACACTTTGAATACCGGGTCTTACCCTTCGGACTTATATTATATATTGTAAAAAGGGGCATAATATCTCCTTTAAGACAGTCAGTTCCCCTCAGAGATACATTCATACTTCGCGCATTGTGAACAGTGAGCTTGCTCTGCCTGCTAATGTATTTTTTCCTCTTTGCGTCTCTGGCCAGTGTTGCACTGCGGTCAAGCCAGCGTGCGTATTGCCATGATTACGGTCATTTCAGGAGCAACACAGAGAGAACGCGCTTTCAGGGCGCTTTTCATTTACGCCCAGAATTGAGAGAGTCATGTTTCCAGATTTTTTTTTTCAAGTTCTGCTTTGTTTTATTTTTTAGTATCTTTGACAGGTGTGTGTTTATTTGAGTAATGCTTTATGTAGGTGAGTTTACAGCAGGACAAACTGACAAAATAAAGTATATAGGGCTACTCTTTCTAAATATCTGCATTGCGTTTTTATTTGTTGCACTGCAGTAAAATGACAGTTAATCTTGAATGCATTTTTATATAATGTGGTTTAACCTCTGCTCAGAAAGTGAACGCCAATTATAAAGTAGTCTGATAAACAAACAACCAAATAAATAGTTTGTTTACAAGCCTTTATTTAATTCCAGAGTATTTAAAAAAAGGTCAGTTCTTTTATGGGACGTCCCATACTATACATACCTCATATATATAAAGACCTCCCTCATTTCTAATAAGTAGAAAAGGTACAAAAATGTCAAGTTCTTAAAGGGGACGACCCATATTATATGCACACCTCATATGAAAACATTTTACTGTAGCATTTTGGAGATATGGGACATTATTACACGTTAGAAGGCTATAAAGACCCCATTTCTAATAAGCAAAGAAAACCAATGGCCAGTTACACGGGACGTCCCATATAGCCTACCTCACATGAGACCATTGTACGGCATTATTTTTAAGATATGGGACATTATTACACTTTAGAGGGCTATAAAGACCCTAAGTAGAAAAAAACCAATGGTCAGCTCTTAAACGGGAAGTCCCATAACTATATACATACCTCTTATGAAAACTTTTTACTGCAGTGTTTTTGAGATATGGGACATTATTACACTTTAGAGGGCCAAATAAAATATAACATTTGCAATCGTGCAGATATTCGGGAAAAATCAGCTCTCTTGCTCTTGTCAATTATATTGCTAAATATCATGTGATATTAATAGCCTACAAGACAAATTCATCCACTGGCTTTTTTTTTGGCCCTCGTATCATATCTTGAATTTTACGCTGAATCTGCACACCACTCATAATGGCAGTATAATTTCAGGGGCTGCCAAAATTACAGTTTAAAATTAGCTGCAGAAATGCATCTTAATATTTACAGGTAAATCTCCATATTATGCGTAGCCTACTTTCAATCCGACCCCTCTACATCTAGTTGTGATGTCCATATCAAGCCTTCTTTAGGAGGGCCCTGTTGTGAGGTCAGTTGCAACATTTTACTTTATTCAAGTATAAATTGTATGTAGCCTATATCATGTGCACATGTTACAGGGTGAGCAGACAGATGTGCCTTTATTGAATTAAAATTTTGACTTTCTACAAACAGTCTCTGAGAAAGTAAAGGAAATGCAAAAAGTGTTGCAACCATCTCCACTCACCCCTATTTCATATGAGTGAAAATTCTGAATAAAATTGAATTATTTATTTATTTATAATAGACAGTCTCAAACGGTCAAAGGTAAAAATAAAAAAACGTCAGAATCTCATGACGGTGAACAAACTGAGAAAGCTAC